AAAAAAAAAAAAAGTTTATATGAGGATGTATCTTTAAAGACATTGTCCCTAATTGTATTTGAATATTGTATGTGTCTCTTGGAAACTTCCTGAAGCTTATTGCCTTGTGTTGCTTCTACCTGCAGGCAGCTTTTAGAGCCTTAAAGTTAACTCTGCAGCTGATAGCCTCTCTCCATGACATCGTGGCCTACCTTCTCAGTGTCACTACACTTGGCAATTGTCCAGCATGCTTTGAGTTTCCCTTAAGTCCTCGCCCTTCGAGAGGCACCTGGGGAGGAGCTGAGGACATTGGTAAGTGGTTAGCGTTCATTAAAAACACATTGCATATGCAGTTGAAACTCTATGAAGCTCTTAATACTTGGAAAATAGAAATATATTTCTTCATAAATGACAGTGATTAGGGTAAAGGAAGAGTCCCTGCTTCCAAACTGCATGTTTACCCAGTTGATTCCACACTCCACAAAGTCAGGAGGCCCAGGGTTGTATTTTGCCTACAGTTTTGGCTACCACAAGCTAAGGATGTCACAACCTGGGGCTCTTGTTTGTCCTTCCATAAAATGAGGCTGATGATACCTGTCTCATGGAGTGTTCTGTGAATTGAGTTGTTGGTAAATGTTCTAGAAGAATGCATATGGCCCCACTAAATATTGGTTTTATTTCATTCCCTTTCCTTCCTAGTCTTGTTTAACTCACCTGGCAAGATCAAAGCCAAACATGTACAGTTAAGAAGCTTAGGGCCAACCAGATAGCTCATGAGATTAAAGCGCCTGCTTAGGCAGACGCAGGGACTGAGGTTGGATCCCCAATGTGCCATGCCAGTCCCGCCCCCAGGGTGCACTGAGATGGTGATGGAGACTGGGAGTGGTGGTGGGTGCCTATAATCCTAGTGCTTAGGAGGCTGAAAACAGGAGAATCACTGAGTCCATTCTGTGTAGTAAGACCCTGTAGACCCTGTACTAAATACAAAAAAGAAAGAAGAGGAAGGAGAAGGAGGACGAGGAGGAGGAGGATGAGGAAAAGGAGTTCGAGGAGGA